AGAAAGAAAGAAAGAAAGAAAGAAAGAAAGAAAGAAAGAAAGAAAGAAAGAAAACAAGTTCTGCGAATCAGAGCCCAGGTCAAAGGTGGGCTACGCAGTTCCTCAGCCAGTTCTCTCCAGCGCCTTGAGAAACCAGCCGCTTGCCCTTGCTTTCACAACCGAGGCCCCTTTCGGAGAGTCTCTTAAAATGAGGGCACCATTCCGATGGATCAAAGAAATGGCCAAGTTCTTGAGGCAGAGACTAGACGAAGAGAGGGATTGATACGAGAACATCCTTTCTCATTTTACCCCAAACACCCTTTCTCATTTTACCGCAAAGCCTTCCTGGGTCTGAAATTTTCAAAAAATGCCATACGAACGCCCTTCGTGCCCTCCTCAAGCGCACCGCGACCTCCAAAGCGCTTCTCAGCTCGTCCCTTCTCCCGCCAATGGCCCTCTTGGGGCTCCGTTTCCTTCCATTAGCTCAGACTCTGTCCAGTTCCTGGTTTCCGGCCATAGTGTCCTGTTTGTCTACTTTCTCCTCCACTTCAGACTCCGTTCGTCTCCCTCAATTCCTCGCCCTCCTCCCCACACTCTCAGGTTACTTCACGACTCTTCTGCCTCAATAACCCCTCCTCTGCCTCAGGGACCGCTCCTCTGCCGCCATTCCCCGAGTCAACCTCAGGTTCCCCCACCTCTACCTCAGTTTTCTCCCCTCAGCCTCAGGCCCCACGCTCCCCGCCCAGGTCCTCCCGTCCTGGCCCTACCGGGCTGCTCCAGACTCAGCGCCCCCAGGCGGCGGATGCCTTCCTCGTCCAGATCCCACTGCTCCGCCATCCCCGCCCGCCCCTCACCTGTCTCGGTCCACGAGACGGACTAGCGCACGCCAGGTCCCGCCCCCCCCGCCGCAGGCCCCGCCCCCCGCGTGCAGCGGATCACCCCCGGCCGTTAGGGCGCTGATCGCGCGCCTGCCCGCCTGCCTCAAGAGTCCCGACTATGGTATGGATCCCGCCCTGGCGGGGGCGCCAAAAACACCAAAGCGGCGAATGGGGAGGCGATGTGGCCAAGGGTTAGGGACCTGGCTCTGGGACACGGGATGGGATAGGGCTCCAGCTTTGAAGGGTTTGGGGTCTGGCTCTGTGGGGTTGGAAGAATGCGCCTGTTTTGAAGGATGATGTGTTCTAGTTTGAGGTTCTGGGGGACTTCAGGTCTGAGAGGTGGAGGGTATGCCTCTTAACGAGGTGAAGTTCTTGATGTCTCGGCGTTTGGAGCTGTTGACTCTGAGACGAGGCGGTGGCCAGCGGGTGAGTGGTGGGGAGGTGTCCAGATCTGAAGGAGTGGGGTAGGAGGTGGGCGGGGGCAGCTCTCTGAGGCATGATAGGGAGGGAGCCCCAGATCGGACCGTTGGTGAACTTGGCTCAGAGGAGTTGAAGTCCTGTCTTTAGATCATGAGGTGGTTCTAGCTCTAGAAATTGATTTGGAAGTGCTCCTTTGGGAGGGAGGAGCAGTGCGGAAAGGAGAAATACTCTTTGGAATGGGCTGGAGATGATTATGCTAAGGCTACCCCATTTCCTATAGTCAGTTTGGCAAGAAGCCTTTTGTCCTTCTAGTGCTACAGGTCCCCAAGCTTGCCTCTGACCGAAGACTCTCCCCAGGCTGGGATACTTCTATGCTAGCAAACTCCTGTGCAGTCTTTGGAAAGAGAACTCTAGAAAGAGCAGCCACATCCTTAATCTCTACCCTCACTCCAGCAGGCATCTCTTGAGAGCCCACCTGTGGATGGGTCATGTAGGTGTAAGAAGGAGGCAAACTCTTGAGCCAAGACACTCTTGTCAAAGCCTATCCTTAATAAGAAAAGAGGACTGAGAACAGAGCTGTGACTCACCTTCCAGGAGTGGGTTTTCTTTGGCAGCCAAAATCTGCATAGTAGGAGCACTTACACTGAGCTGTCAACCAGCTAGTCACCTTTAAGAAAAACAGAAAGCAAAATCAAGAGTCCTTGCATATTTATGCTTTCTGGTCTAGGTGGAACTCTTATTTACCATCAGCTTGTCATGCTCAGCTGTAGCCATTTTTAAAGAGGGCCAGGACTCAAAAACCTAGATTAGTTCATTAGATTGGCTTTTCTTCCTGAACTTCCATGAATCATGACACCATTTAAAAATCTGTAATCTTTCTCATGACCCCTTTAACTCTTTTAGCCTCAAATGTGGCATATATAATTGCCCTTCTTTACATCTGAATATAGACCAGGTTATTTTAAGAGAAAGGAACTCCACCCACTTCTTTGTTGTATGCATTTATTTTCCTTCCTGAGCTGTCAAAATGGAAGATACAGGTTTTGTTGGAGAAGTAGGCCTTTCCTCTCTTTAGCAACCACCTCTTTAACACTCTTCCCCTCCCACCAACATTTTAATGCAAATTTTGAAAGATTCAGAGAGGGTGAAAGAACTATATACCCACTGCCTGCATTCTACAGTGAACATCTTGCTGTATTTATCACATGTCCATCTTTCCATCCCTTTACCAATCCATATTGGTTTGCTGATGCATTTCAAAATGTTATAAACATCAGTACATTGCACCCCAATTGCTTCAGCATGCATAATTTTTACTTAGAATTCAAAATTATTTAATGGTTCTTTTTAAGGTGCAATTTTTATGCTATTTACCACCTTTTAAATTTTGTTTACAAGGGTAGTGGTCCTTGAGTGTTTATTTTAAAATCTGATACAGATGGTTTGTATGTTCATATGTTCTACTTTTCTATAGTGTTGATAAGCTAAGTCATCTTTTTTTAAATTCTTTTTTTATTAACATATAATGTATTATTTGTTTCAGGGAAACAGGTCTGTGATTCATCAGTCTTAGACAATTCATAGCCCTCACCATAGCATACACCATCCCCAGTGTCCATCAACCAGCCACCCCATCCCTCCCACCCCCCTCCCCTCCAGCAACCCTCAGTTTGTTTCATGAGATTAAGAGTCTCTTGTGGTTTGTCTACCTCTCTGCTTTCATCTTGTTTCATTTTTCTCTTCCTTCCCCTCTGATCCTGTCTTGTTTCTCAAGTTCCTCATATCAGTGAGATCATGTGATAATTGTCTTTCTCTGATTGACTTATTTCACTTAGCTTAATACCCTCTAGTTTCATCCACATCATTGCAAACGGCAAGATTTCATTTTTTTTAAGATTTTATTTATTTATTTGACAGAGAGAGATCACAAGTAGGCAGAGAGGCAGGCAGAGAGAGAGAGAGGGAAGCAGGCTCCCCGCTGAGCAGAGAGCCCGATGCGGGACTCGATCCTAGGACCCTGAGATCACGACCCGAGCCGAAGGCAGCGGCCCAACCCACTGAGCCACTCAGGCGCCCCAAGATTTCATTCTTTGATGGCTGCATAATATTCCATTGTAGATATATACCACATCTCTTTTTTTCATTCCTCTGTTGATGGACATCTAGGCTCTTTCCATAGTTTGGCTATTGTGGACTATTGCTGCTATAAACATGGGGTGTACGTGACCCTTCGGATCGCTACATTTGTATCACAGTAGTGCAGTTGCTGGGTCATAGGAAAGTTCTATTTTCAACTTTTTGAGGAACCTCCATACTGTCTTCCAGAGTGGCTGCACCAGCAATAAGCTAGGTCATATTGAAGCAAAATAGTGGACTTACATGAATAGATAACCTTGAACTTTTAACAATGAGCTGGGGAAGTTTAATGATCTTTGCTGCCTTTGTATATAGGAAAAGGAAACCACAACATTCAGGTATTCTGCTATGGCCTCAATAATGTAATGTCTTTGCAGGTATGATCCCAAGAAAGCTCTGCATGCACTCAGAGGGGTAGGGAGTGCCTCCTCATAACTCTCGCTCTCTCTCTTTTTAAAAAGATTTTATGTATGTATGTATGCACATATTTGAGAGAGTGAGAGAAAGAGCAGGGAGAGGGGCAGAGGGGGAGGAGGAATTAAAGGATCCCAAGCAGATTCCATGCTGAGTGTGAAGCCCAATGCAGGGCCTCATAACTCTGTTTTAAATGGCTTTATTAAGAAATAATTCCCAGGGGCGCCTGGGTGGCTCAGTGGGTTAAGCCGCTGCCTTCGGCTCAGGTCATGATCTCAGAGTCCTGGGATCGAGCCCCGCATCGGGCTCTCTGCTCTCTAGGGGAGCCTGCTTCCTCCTCTCTCTCTGCCTGCTTGTGATCTCTCTGTCAAATAAATAAATAAAATCTTAAAAAAAAAAAAAAAAAAAAGAAATAATTCCCATACTACAATTTATCATTGAAAGTGTACAGTTCAGTGGTTTTTAGTATATTCACAGAGTGTGCAACTAGTATCACAATTTTGCAACATTTGCATTATCTGAAGAAGAAATTCCATACCTATTAGTCACTGCCCATTTCCCCCATAACCTCTCTAGCCCTAAGCCACCACTAATCTATTCTAGAAATTTGCCTATTCTGCACATTACACGTGGATGGAATCATGTAATATGTGGTCATTTGTGTCTGGTTTTTTTCACTTAGCATGTTTCAATGTTCATCTGAGTTGTAGCACGTAGCAGTACTTCCTTTTTATTGATAAATAATACTCCATTGTATGGATACACTACATTTCATTTATTCAGCAGTTGATCAACATTAGGTTGTTTCTAATGTTTGGCTGTTAAGAATAATGCTTCTATGAACATTCATCTGCAAGTTTTTGTGTGGACATAGGTTTCATTTCTCTTGAATTTATAACTAGAAGTGGAATTGCTGGGCCATATAGTAACTACATGTTTAACATTTTGATGAACCACTAAACTGTTTCCCAGAGTAGCTGAACCACTTTACACTCTTGCCAGCAGTGTTAGAAGGTTCCAGTTTCTCTAATCCTTGTCAACACTTGTTATCTATCACTTTGATTCAGGTCATCCTACTGGGTATGAAGTGGTATATCATTGCAAGTTTTGATTTGCATTGCCCTCATAGCAAATGATGTTAAGTATATTTTCATGTGTTATTGATCATTTATATATCTCCTTTAGAAAAGTGTCTTTTTAGATTTTTTTACTCCCTTTTAAATTTGATTGTCCATATTTTTATTATTTATTATTGAGTTGTAAGAGTTATTTTAATATTTTATTTATTTATTTGACAGAGAGAGATCACAAGTAGGCAGAGAGGCAGACAGAGAGAGAGAGAGAGGAGAAAGCAGGCTCCCTGCCAAGCAGAGAGCCCGATGCGGGACTCGATCCCAGGACCCTGAGCTCATGACCTGAGCCGAAGGCAGAGGCCTATCAACCCACTGAGCCACCCAGGCGCCCCGAGTTGTAAGAGTTATTTATATAGTCTAAATACAAGTTCTTTATCAGATATGTGATTTGCAAATATTTTGTTTCATTATATGGGGTTATCTTTTTACTTGCTGACATCTTTTGAAGCACAAAAGTTTTTAATTTTGATGTTTTATTTGTTTGTTTCAGTTGTGCTTTCTGTATCTCATCTAAGAAGGCATTACCTCCTAATCTAAGATCATGAGGATTTTGTGTTTTCTTCTAAGGGTTTCATATTTTTAGCTCTTAATTTTAGGTTTGGTCCATTTGGCGTTAATTTTTGTGTATGGTGTGAGGTGGGGGGTCTAACTACTACCTCTTCTCCTTCTCCTTCCTCCTCTTCCTCTTCTTCCTCTTCTTCCTCCTCTTCCTCCCTCTTCCTCCTCTTCTTCTTCTTCCTCTTCCTTCTGTTCTTCTTCCTCTTCCTCCTCTTCCTTCTCCTCTTCTTCCTCCCCTTCTTCTTCTTCTCCTTCTTCTTCTTTTGCACATGGATGTCCAGTTGTCCCAGCACTACTTTTT